GGAACGGGTAACGGGAACGGGAACGGGTACGGGAACGGGTAACGGGAAGGTACGGGAACGGTAACGGTGAACTGGAACGGGTACGGGAACTGTGAACTTGTGAACGGGAACGGAACGGGTACGGAACGGTGAACGGGATCGGTTACGGTGAACTGGAACGGGAACTGTTGTGAACTGGAACGGGAACGGGAACGTGAACGGGATCGGGAACGGGAACTGTGGAACTGTTGTAACGGGAACGGGAGACGTAGGTACGGGAACGGGTACGTGTATCGGGAACGGGAACGGTGATCGGGAACGGGTAACGGTGATACGGTGGAACGGTATCGTGGGAACGTGTAACGTGGAACGGGAACGTGGAACGTGAACGTGTGGAACGGGTACGGGACGGGAACGTGGAACTGGAACGGAACGGGTAACGGGAACGGTGAACGGTAACTGGATCGGGAACGGTGAACGGTAACGTGTAACGTGAACGGGAACGGTGAACTGTGTACGTGAACGTTAACGGGAACGTGGTACGGTGTATCGGGAACGTGTACTGGGAACGGGAACGGTGAACGTGGAACGGGAACGGAACGGTGAACGGTGAACGGGTACGGGAACGTGAACGGGACGGGATACTGGATCTGGAACGGGAACGTTGTACTGGAACGTGTACGTGAACTGTGAACTGGTGATCGGGGAACGGAACGGTTACGGGAACGGAGTAACTGTGAACGTGAACTGGAACGTGTGAACTGGTGAACGGGTAACGTGGAACTGGTACGGTGAACGGGGATCTGGAACGGTGAACGGGATACGGGAACGTGTAACGTGGTACGTGGAACGTGGAACGTGTAACGGTGAACGGGACGGGAACGTTAACTGGGAACGGTAACGGTGAACGTTGGTAACGGAACGTGACGGTAACGGAACGTGAACGGGAACTGGAGACGGGAACGGGATACGGTGAACTGGAACGTGAACGGGTACGTGAACGGTGAACTGTAACGGGAACGGTGAACTGTGAACTTGGGAACGGGTAACGTGGAACGTGTGAACGGTGAACGGTGAACGGGTAACTGTATCGGGAGTACGGTTACTGGAACGGGAACGTGTAACGGTGAACGGTTGAACGGGAACGGGTACTGTAACTGGAACGGAACGGGAACGGTGAACGGGTACGGTGAACTGTAACGGTAACGGGAACGGGAACGGTGAACGTGAGGGTAACGGGGAACGGGAACGGGTTGAACGGGTACTGGAACTGTTGGAACGGTGAACGGTTGAACGTTGAACGGGGAACGGGTGAACGTGAACTGGAACGGGTACGTGGGAACTGTGAACGTGAACGGGAACTGTCGTAACGGTTCGGGAACTGTAACGGATTACGGGAACGGGTACTGGAACTGGAACTGTGGAACGTGTACGTGGTACGTGAACGGAACGGGAACGTGGAACTGTAACTGTAACGTGTCGGGAACGTGAACTGTGGAACGGGTACGTGAACTGTGAACGGGAACTGGGAACGTGGAACGGGTACGGAGTACGGGAACGGGAACTGGTAACGGGAACGGGTTACGGGATCGGGATACGGGTTACGGGTTACGTGAACGGGTTCGTTGGTTCGTGGGATCGCTCTCTCTCCCCCTCCCCACCCCGTCGGCGGCGGACACCCGCGCCGCACACCCCCACCCCCTCCCCCTACCCCACCCCCTCCCCCACCTCCCCACACCCTCCCCCTACCCCCACACCCTCACCTCCCCTCCCCCACCCCCTCCCCCTCCCCCTCCCCCACACCCTCACCCACCCCCTAACCCCTCACCCTCCCACCCTCACCCACCCTAACCCTCCCCCTAACCCTCACCCTCACCCTCCCCACCCTCCCCCTACCCCCACCCCTACCCCTCCCCTAACCCTACCCTCACCCTCCCCCACACCCTCCCCACACCCTACCCCACCCCTCCCCCCCCCTCCCCACCCCTCCCCTACCCCTACCCTACCCCTACCCTACCTCCCCCTCACCCCTAACCCTAACCCTAACCCTACCTACCCTACCCCTAACCCTCACCCTCACCCTAACCCTAACCCTACCCCTAACCCTAACCCTAACCCTAACCCTAACCCACCTCCCCAACCCTAACCCTAACCCTAACCCTACCCTACACCCTAACCCTAACCCTAACCCTAACCCTAACCCTAACCCTAACCCTAACCCTAACCCTAACCCTAACCCTACAACCCTAACCCTAACCCTAACCCTAACCCTACCCTAACCCTAACCCTAACCCTAACCCTAACCCTAACCCTAACCCTAACCCTAACCCTAACCCTAACCCTAACCCTAACCCTAACCCTAACCCTAACCCTAACCCTAACCCTAACCCTAACCCTAACCCTAACCCTAACCCTAACCCTAACCCTAACCCTAACCCTAACCCTAACCCTAACCCTAACCCTAACCCTAACCCTAACCCTAACCCTAACCCTAACCCTAACCCTAACCCTAACCCTAACCCTAACCCTAACCCTAACCCTAACCCTAACCCTAACCCTAACCCTAACCCTAACCCTAACCCTAACCCTAACCCTAACCCTAACCCTAACCCTAACCCTAACCCTAACCCTAACCCTAACCCTAACCCTAACCCTAACCCTAACCCTAACCCTAACCCTAACCCTAACCCTAACCCTAACCCTAACCCTAACCCTAACCCTAACCCTAACCCTAACCCTAACCCTAACCCTAACCCTAACCCTAACCCTAACCCTAACCCTAACCCTAACCCTAACCCTAACCCTAACCCTAACCCTAACCCTAACCCTAACCCTAACCCTAACCCTAACCCTAACCCTAACCCTAACCCTAACCCTAACCCTAACCCTAACCCTAACCCTAACCCTAACCCTAACCCTAACCCTAACCCTAACCCTAACCCTAACCCTAACCCTAACCCTAACCCTAACCCTAACCCTAACCCTAACCCTAACCCTAACCCTAACCCTAACCCTAACCCTAACCCTAACCCTAACCCTAACCCTAACCCTAACCCTAACCCTAACCCTAACCCTAACCCTAACCCTAACCCTAACCCTAACCCTAACCCTAACCCTAACCCTAACCCTAACCCTAACCCTAACCCTAACCCTAACCCTAACCCTAACCCTAACCCTAACCCTAACCCTAACCCTAACCCTAACCCTAACCCTAACCCTAACCCTAACCCTAACCCTAACCCTAACCCTAACCCTAACCCTAACCCTAACCCTAACCCTAACCCTAACCCTAACCCTAACCCTAACCCTAACCCTAACCCTAACCCTAACCCTAACCCTAACCCTAACCCTAACCCTAACCCTAACCCTAACCCTAACCCTAACCCTAACCCTAACCCTAACCCTAACCCTAACCCTAACCCTAACCCTAACCCTAACCCTAACCCTAACCCTAACCCTAACCCTAACCCTAACCCTAACCCTAACCCTAACCCTAACCCTAACCCTAACCCTAACCCTAACCCTAACCCTAACCCTAACCCTAACCCTAACCCTAACCCTAACCCTAACCCTAACCCTAACCCTAACCCTAACCCTAACCCTAACCCTAACCCTAACCCTAACCCTAACCCTAACCCTAACCCTAACCCTAACCCTAACCCTAACCCTAACCCTAACCCTAACCCTAACCCTAACCCTAACCCTAACCCTAACCCTAACCCTAACCCTAACCCTAACCCTAACCCTAACCCTAACCCTAACCCTAACCCTAACCCTAACCCTAACCCTAACCCTAACCCTAACCCTAACCCTAACCCTAACCCTAACCCTAACCCTAACCCTAACCCTAACCCTAACCCTAACCCTAACCCTAACCCTAACCCTAACCCTAACCCTAACCCTAACCCTAACCCTAACCCTAACCCTAACCCTAACCCTAACCCTAACCCTAACCCTAACCCTAACCCTGAACCCTAACCCTAACCCTAACCCTAACCCTAACCCTAACCCTAACCCTAACCCTAACCCTAACCCTAACCCTAACCCTAACCCTAACCCTAACCCTAACCCTAACCCTAACCCTAACCCTAACCCTAACCCTAACCCTAACCCTAACCCTAACCCTAACCCTAACCCTAACCCTAACCCTAACCCTAACCCTAACCCTAACCCTAACCCTAACCCTAACCCTAACCCTAACCCTAACCCTAACCCTAACCCTAACCCTAACCCTAACCCTAACCCTAACCCTAACCCTAACCCTAACCCTAACCCTAACCCTAACCCTAACCCTAACCCTAACCCTAACCCTAACCCTAACCCTAACCCTAACCCTAACCCTAACCCTAACCCTAACCCTAACCCTAACCCTAACCCTAACCCTAACCCTAACCCTAACCCTAACCCTAACCCTAACCCTAACCCTAACCCTAACCCTAACCCTAACCCTAACCCTAACCCTAACCCTAACCCTAACCCTAACCCTAACCCTAACCCTAACCCTAACCCTAACCCTAACCCTAACCCTAACCCTAACCCTAACCCTAACCCTAACCCTAACCCTAACCCTAACCCTAACCCTAACCCTAACCCTAACCCTAACCCTAACCCTAACCCTAACCCTAACCCTAACCCTAACCCTAACCCTAACCCTAACCCTAACCCTAACCCTAACCCTAACCCTAACCCTAACCCTAACCCTAACCCTAACCCTAACCCTAACCCTAACCCTAACCCTAACCCTAACCCTAACCCTAACCCTAACCCTAACCCTAACCCTAACCCTAACCCTAACCCTAACCCTAACCCTAACCCTAACCCTAACCCTAACCCTAACCCTAACCCTAACCCTAACCCTAACCCTAACCCTAACCCTAACCCTAACCCTAACCCTAACCCTAACCCTAACCCTAACCCTAACCCTAACCCTAACCCTAACCCTAACCCTAACCCTAACCCTAACCCTAACCCTAACCCTAACCCTAACCCTAACCCTAACCCTAACCCTAACCCTAACCCTAACCCTAACCCTAACCCTAACCCTAACCCTAACCCTAACCCTAACCCTAACCCTAACCCTAACCCTAACCCTAACCCTAACCCTAACCCTAACCCTAACCCTAACCCTAACCCTAACCCTAACCCTAACCCTAACCCTAACCCTAACCCTAACCCTAACCCTAACCCTAACCCTAACCCTAACCCTAACCCTAACCCTAACCCTAACCCTAACCCTAACCCTAACCCTAACCCTAACCCTAACCCTAACCCTAACCCTAACCCTAACCCTAACCCTAACCCTAACCCTAACCCTAACCCTAACCCTAACCCTAACCCTAACCCTAACCCTAACCCTAACCCTAACCCTAACCCTAACCCTAACCCTAACCCTAACCCTAACCCTAACCCTAACCCTAACCCTAACCCTAACCCTAACCCTAACCCTAACCCTAACCCTAACCCTAACCCTAACCCTAACCCTAACCCTAACCCTAACCCTAACCCTAACCCTAACCCTAACCCTAACCCTAACCCTAACCCTAACCCTAACCCTAACCCTAACCCTAACCCTAACCCTAACCCTAACCCTAACCCTAACCCTAACCCTAACCCTAACCCTAACCCTAACCCTAACCCTAACCCTAACCCTAACCCTAACCCTAACCCTAACCCTAACCCTAACCCTAACCCTAACCCTAACCCTAACCCTAACCCTAACCCTAACCCTAACCCTAACCCTAACCCTAACCCTAACCCTAACCCTAACCCTAACCCTAACCCTAACCCTAACCCTAACCCTAACCCTAACCCTAACCCTAACCCTAACCCTAACCCTAACCCTAACCCTAACCCTAACCCTAACCCTAACCCTAACCCTAACCCTAACCCTAACCCTAACCCTAACCCTAACCCTAACCCTAACCCTAACCCTAACCCTAACCCTAACCCTAACCCTAACCCTAACCCTAACCCTAACCCTAACCCTAACCCTAACCCTAACCCTAACCCTAACCCTAACCCTAACCCTAACCCTAACCCTAACCCTAACCCTAACCCTAACCCTAACCCTAACCCTAACCCTAACCCTAACCCTAACCCTAACCCTAACCCTAACCCTAACCCTAACCCTAACCCTAACCCTAACCCTAACCCTAACCCTAACCCTAACCCTAACCCTAACCCTAACCCTAACCCTAACCCTAACCCTAACCCTAACCCTAACCCTAACCCTAACCCTAACCCTAACCCTAACCCTAACCCTAACCCTAACCCTAACCCTAACCCTAACCCTAACCCTAACCCTAACCCTAACCCTAACCCTAACCCTAACCCTAACCCTAACCCTAACCCTAACCCTAACCCTAACCCTAACCCTAACCC